CGACATGTATTGAACGTTTTCTTCCCCTGCTAATATACGACGTTTTATTATGAAGACAGGCTTTACAAGTCCATGTTGTGTTTTATCTGGAAATGCGCTTGCCGTAGTTGACACTGCGATGATAGTCTGACGATAGGAAGGGGTGTTGGGCCACCTGTTCCAGTGTCGGGCGCCTGTGCGGATCCGTAGTGAGCAGCTTCTCCATGAGGTCCCAGACTTCTTCAGACAGTTTGCGAGGGAAAACCCGACGCAGCTTCCGTACACCGCCACCATGACTCAGGATACAGAACTGACGGTCGTCCCTTGTGGGTTTCTCCACAAGTGGGGCTCCTGCCAGCATAATTGCCAGCAGTACACCAAGAGACCAGATATCCGCCTGAAGCGGGTCGTACGGCTCCTTGGCTGCGAAAACCTCTGGGGCCATGTACCAAGCTTTGCCTACTCTACCGGGAGCCAGCAACTTGCCATGTTGCGTGGCCAAACCGAAATCGCACACGTGACAAACGCCTTCGGCATCCAGCACCACATTTTCCAGCGAAATATCGCGGTGTGCCAAGCCATTTTGCTTCAAGCACAGCAAACCACGCACGACATCGCCCAAGAAGCGACGTGCAGTGGCTTCAGGTAGTCTACCGTCGAGTACACCTTTGCCCGTCCAAACAGAGAATAATTTCAAGCAAAGTGGACAATTTGGTTTTTATAGTACAAATTTTAACTTTAGTAAAAGTAATCAACAAACAAACAGAGAAAGATCTCATCCAAAGCGAGACAAGGAAAGGCGATGGCTGGAAATCATTCGTGAAGGGGTGGTGAGGGTGCGTTGGCGCCAAAATGCGCGCGAAAACCTCGCCTGAAGCAAACCATCGCCTGAAGCAGTTCACTTTTCAATTCACCTCTTCAGACGAATGCCCTTCCAACCACTCCTCCGCAAGCACTCCCCCGCTGAGAAGCTCCGTGTCCTAGCTGCTCATCGCGCGGGACGCGCTGACTGGCTTCAGGTGGCCGCCAATAACGGCATATCGCGTGCGGTGGCATACCGCACTGTAGCCACAGGACGCGTAGAAGATCTACCGCGCGGTGGAGCTCGTGGTAGAGCTGTGAAGATGACACCAGAAGCAAAGTCCAAGCTGGAGGAATATCTTGACGACAATTGCACCTTCACCCTGGAAGCTATGCGCACGATGCTCTTTTTAGATACGAACGTGCGGGTCTCCACTTCAACGATCAGCCGCCACTTGCTTGGCATGCTGTTCACCGTCAAACAAACTCGCATAGAGCCCATGACATGCAACAACGAGATCAACAAGACCAAGCGGCAGAAGTTTGCAAAATCGCTGAAGGACCATCAAAAGAACGGTGACTGTATAATCTATTTTGATGAGACTAACTACAACGTTTACTGTACGCGAGGTCGAGGACGTGCACGGAGAGGTGAGCGTGCAACGCTCGTGATGCCGCCGTCCAAGGGTGCAAACTTGCAAGTCCAGTGCGCTGTAAGCTCGGCCATGGGTGTGGTTCTCCACCGTCTGGAGAGGGGAAGCATCCGAATGGAGCAGAATGCAGCTTTCATTGAGGAAATCTACCTGACGGTTAAGGCATCCTCCGTGTTTCATGACAGCTTCGCTGGGAAGAAGGTCATTATTGTCCTGGATAATGCCCCCGCTCACCGCCAAACCGAAGAACGTGTCGAAGCACGTGACGACCTCGTACTCCTACGACTCGGACCCTACTCACCGATGTGCAACCCGATTGAGGGTTGCTTCTCCGTTTTAAAAGCTCGAATCAAGGGATACCTAGCCTTGTACCGCGAAGAGATCTGCGACCGGAGTAACATGGTGGAAGAAGACGGCACCCCAATAACGATCAAGGGGCGCACTATGCGCTTCTTAGAGAAGGCTGCAGAATCGAGTATGAAGTATATAACACCTACGTTAGTGACGAAGATGGAGCTTCACGCTCGCGATGCGGTGAACGCGGCCGAGGAGATGAAAGACATGGTCTATGGGAAGTAGCTCACTGTGTCGTCTCGGTTTGAATGAGATTATTCTCTGATTCACTGGTAATTTTGATCCCGTAATCAGATATTTGTAATAATCAAAAACATATTGTCCACTTTGCTTGACATTATTCTCTGTTTGGACGGCTTGGAAAACACATGCCGGAGCTACCGCGCCTTAATCCACGGCGTGTAGCGCTCGGCCTCGCGCTACTTGCGTACACCCGCAACACAGGACGCAATCTCCGCCAGCAGCACACTTTGCTACTGCAGAATGAGCCGCGTCTTCCTTGGGTGGAGCATGTCAAAGCTGCTCTCAAGTACACGACCACGGGGCAGCTCATTGCCTCTTCCGAATACCTTTTATGCCTGATCAAGCCTCAATTGGCCGCGAGGATTGGTCGATTACTTGTGTGGACGCCTAGGATCGCAAGCTGCGGCCCGCATCACAAGAGAGGCGACGCCTGGACTGTTTTGCCGTACGAGGGAGGCGATGCTTGGATAGTGTACGCTGTGCTGTCGTGTGAGGGAGGTGATGACCGGTAGATGGTATTGAAAG